AGGCCAACCGCTCTGTCTTTTGTGAATATTGCATATAAAGTAAATGGAGTAAACACTCACAATACAATACTGTCATTAACAGCTTTCTCTTTGAAGGGCTACTGAATAAATATTGTGCTCCCACAAAGTCAAGAGTACAAAAAAGTCAAAATCAGTGCATCAAAGTCCAAGATACTCTGACTTAAAGTGCTACTATGAGACAAGCCCTAAAAAGCACTGCATCCTTAATTTCCCAAAATGCTAATTCCCATAGTGGCATATTTCGTGAGGTGGTCCAGGGTCCAGGCTAAACTAGTACCAACGCATCTAACCAGTTCACTGTTACAACATCAACAGTGGAGCCTCGTCCAGTGTATGTTTACATTTGTTCTACAATGTATACCAGGGGTCGGCAACCTTTTTGATATGAAGTGCCATTAAAAAAAATGTTTTTATCAGCATGCCGACGACCGTGAATTATCAACGGGGGGGAGGGGGGTTAAGAGCTCGACGCTCGTGAACTGTCAACAGGAGGGCGGGGGAGCCTCGCTGCGGGGAAGCAGTGTGTGGACCTGTCAGCGCAACTTACATTAGGGATGCTCCGATCGCCGATCCGATCGAGTGGGCGGGGCCTATGGGGATCTTCCTTTTAAAGTGATGTTTAAAACTCAGCTAATGGGGCTCATTCACTGGCGCTTCCACAAACAACAACCAACATAATTATTACATTCAAATGAAGTACATTATTCAAGTTTACATTAACTTTGGATAATAACACGGGAGAAATGAGCTGAAGCGCTCTCTTTTCCTCTCTCCCCCTCTCTCTCTCTCCTGACAGCCTGTCAGTGGGTGTTTCTCAATCGCGAGTAAAGCTGCTTCAGAGCCACTATTTCAAGCATACTACGTCATCGAGTGCCACCGAAGTACTGTTCCAATGTCCAGCATACTTGGAAATCTACCGATCCCGGCGTACTCCGTTTGGAGAAATATCGAGGCTGCACATGAGTAGACTCCACGGTCTTAAAATCCCCACAATGCTTTGCGCACGGACCAATTTCCAAAATCTGTGGCGGAAAATGTAAGACGGGGCCTCTCATATGACGCACACCTGCACACTTTCTAGCGTGTTCCACTCTTTGTTTTCCAAATGTCAGGAAGTATTCTTGACTCGCTTCTGAAGCAAGATGCTCGGCAGACATGTGCTACCAAGCAAGCGTACTCGCGATTGAGAAACACCCTCTATCTCATGCAGCTCACTGATCCAGTAATGAGTGACAGTGAAGAATAAACATATGTTTAACTAGTTTAGCTTGTTCCAGAGGTAGATCAAATAGCTAAGTGTGTTAGGTCTAACTCTTGTGTGTGTTGCTCCGCTCACAGGTCCGTCACAGCGGGTGGAGCTGCAGGATTTCTGCTTCACACACGTTGCACCGCTATTTTATTGTCATTTTCGGACACCTTAAAATACTGCCAGACTGGTGAAGCCATTTTGGCGAGCTTGTTTTGCCGCACACAGAGAAAAGTGTCATGTATTTTACGTCTCGCGATCGGCATTTTTAGAGAGCACCGATCGATCGGCAGAGAGTGAGTATCGGCCGATATCGATCGCCACGCAAAAACTGCGGCATTTTTACAGCTCCTTATGGGTACTGCAATTTGTGAAGTGCTTTCCTCTGTGATGAAACTATCAGCACTGCATTACGGAGGAAAGCGGCAGAAAGTCGCCTGGAGTTAAAGAGAGCGGGGCTGCGTTGCGTGCATGGCTTCCTTCTGCAGGTAACGGGGAGACGCGCTCTGGCGGCGGTCTCGTTCAGGATCCGAAAATAAAATTTAAATATTTTTCACACTTATTCCACTTATTCCTAGTGTGCCACTGGTTAGTGCCAGGGGTTGCCGACCCCTGATGTATACAAACCATTTCCCAGCTCACATCTCCCACGCTGTGTTTGGGCCCAGGTAAGGCAGGTGACTGCCCATTGGTCCCAGACTCTCAGTTGTCAAGACAGGCACATTGAGGCCTTTAATGTATGGTAATTGAATATCCTGCTTCTTTGTAAAAATGTTACTTTGTTTTTGAGCTGAGAAGATTGATATAAATCTTACATATGTGATTGCAAGGGAGAGCTGGAGTCAGGATGGGTTAACCTGGATTATTAGCAGGCTAAGTAGGATGAAATTGGAAAAGGGATGTCTCTGTCCAACGCTCAAAAACATCACAAGCACCTCCCAATCAGACAGAATAACACTCATACCTTGACATTGAAATTGACATCCAGGTGCTGTGACTGTTCGCATATTTCTGTCTGCAGTAAATATTAGTTTCACTTCAAATACTATCCAACACAGGCCGACAGCTGTCTTTAACATGGGCCCTATAGAGTGTTCAAAGAGCCATCTTCAGATTGTTTATTTAGTTCAACAAAGTCCAAAACAGACATTTGACGGCATTAAATTAATACATTTCATCAGGGATCATCATCAACAGTCAAAATGCAACAAAACAGACTTCAAAAAAGTTGTTTAAGAGGGAACGTCATACTCTGTTCATTTCAGTACTGAATATGATTATTTTTAGATTACCTTAATGGATAAATATGTGCTACAACTTTAAGAAGGAAACACGTTCAGAGATGCTGTCCTGAGTTCTAGCAGAAAAAAGGTCCACCGTCTTCCTGCCCTCCACTCCAGAGTCAGGGGCAGCGGGGCAAGAAATAAACAGATTTGAAAAAGCAATCAACAGCCCCCCCACTCCCCACCCTCACCCCCGAGCTGATTTGCATCTGATCCTCAGATCATGTTTTATTTATCAGTAATCACAACCAATCAGGGAAGAAATTAATCAATGAAGGCGCAAGGTACTGTAGGAGTGATATCCGCCATCTGGGGGTCGCGCTGATCCCACCCCCCCCGGCAGGCACACACACACACACACACACACACACACACACGAGCATGTACACATTCACATCCAAGGTCCAACACTGATGGATACAAACATGTATGCACATACACACATTGGCAGGGAGCAGCAAATACATGCGGTGAGAAAAACACACACTCACACATGCGCTGACACACACAGGGCTCAACAACGACGAGAACCAACATTATGCAAACACACATACACACACTGAAGTCCCCTTTCCGCTGGCTTGTCATAGGCCCATATTTAGGTGACTGATATTTTTCTCTCCCTACCAATGAGCTCCAGGCAAGTCCATATGGCCCGGATCAAAGGTGTTGCTGGGTGCATGCTTCTGCTTTATTGCCAGCCGCTGCTGTTAATTAGGAAACAAGATCACAGGCAGTATTAAAATCCAATTAAATTTATATGAACAGATTGCCAAGTGATGTTCGCTAATGTATAATTGAGCACCATGCAAATTTCTCTGGCTGGCTTTTATTTTGCCTTGTCTCTTCCTCTATCTCACCGGCCCACAATGAGCAACCGAGCCTGAAACTTTTCCTCTCTCTGTCATCACCGACTCAGAGATAAACAAGTTAATGCCCTGAGATGGCTTTCATCACTTAAAGTGATATCCTTCCCATCATGCACAGGGGGGGCTGCGGGGGCTTTGCCACTCTCGGAGGGAGTCAATCCCAGCCTGTCCGGACATGTTCAGTTGAAAAATGTGTGTGTCGTTGTAACTTAATGTCTAATACAATAAACTCAAATATATTTAGGCTGTACCATAAAATGCAACAAACTAACTAAAAAACATAAATCACATTTGCACCTATTTCCAAACAATGGTTTCCAACCTGAGGGTCGGGACCCTCACAAGGGGTCACAGGATGGTGCACTGCATATTTATTGTAAAACATTAATACTATATAATATTGGCAGAAAGTAAGTGCTGAACTACAAAACAGGCTTAAGTGACTGTAAAATGATGATTGATGAAGTGTTGAATGCACCTGTCCAGTGGGAGTCCAGTTTTTTTCACCTGGTTTTTTCTGACTAATGACAGTTATGATTTGGCGATTGGACTCAAAGAAAGCAGATTAACAGGTGTTTACCAGCAAGGGAATTATCTGACCTGTTTCAAAAGTGTTTAACACCAAGCATGGATTTACCCTCAAAAACGCACGTGTATTTATAAAAACTGATATTTTTGGTTCTTTGGAATGCCCTGGGGAACAATTGGGAAAAACTTTTTGACGGACCATCATTTCAACGCATGTGTATTTCCTATATTACCACACTGCAGTATTGCACTGATGATGGCCTGCAGGTAAAACCACTCTTTGCTGGCTTTCCCCACATTCCAACACAATTGTTTTCACGTTAATCTGGGTTAAAGCTTACCTTTAATGAATGGGAAAACGTCTGCTCCGTGCACCAGGCACAGAGCAAATCTTTTCTCACAATGTTGTCTGCCTCGCCATCTTTAATAAAATGTTTAAGACAGCAAAAAGCTAAAGTTAACTGTGCATGACATAACAATAATATCATCAACAATAATGGTCCTGGTCCCGGGCCTCCACTGACACTAAAACCGCCCTGGAGTGCAGAAAAAATGTTCAGGCCTCAAAATATTATTTAGATGAAATAACATTTCTTTGGCTGGAATGTGTGGACAATGACAATGTTTTCAAAGCTGGAAGGTTTTTGCTTTAAGGACTAATAGGCTAAAATGGTCAGGACACTGCCCAAAATAATACTGCAAAAATACTTATATTATCTTAAAAACTATTATGATATGAAAAGAAGCTACACATATGATTTCATTACATTGCATTTAGCTGACGCTTTTATCCAAAGCGACTTACAATAAGTGCATTCGACCAAGAAGATACAAACTTGAAGAAAACAGAATCATATAAGTACATCAGGTTTCATAGAGCCAAAACATTTCAAGTGCTACTCAACTGGCTTTAGATAAGCCAGTCCTTTGTTAGTATATAAGTGCTTTGTTAGAATATGAGTGCTTTGTTAGTATATAAGTGCTTTGTTAGTATATAAGTGCTTTGTTAGCAATTCTTTGTTAGTAATTCTATCGCTCGAAGTGGAGTCGAAAGAGATGAGTTTTTAGTCTGCGCCGGAAGATGTGTAAGCTATCTGCTGTCCTGATGTCAATGGGGAGGTCATTCCACCATTTTGGAGCCAGGATAGCAAACCTACGTGTTTTTGCTGATGGGAATTTGGGTCCCCCTCGCAGTGAGGGTGCAGCGAGCCATTTGGCTGATGCAGAGCGGAGTGCACGTGCTGGGGTGTACAGTTCAACCATGTCCTGGATGTAGGAAGGGCCAGATCCATTCACAGCATGGTACGCAAGTACCAGTGTCTTGAAGTGGATTCTAGCAGTTACTGGAAGCCAGTGAAGTGAGCGGAGGAGCGGCGTGGTGTGGGAACATTTTGGAAGGTTGAAGACCAGACGAGACGCTGCATTCTGGATGAGCTGCAGAGGTTGGATGGCACATGCAGGTAGACCAGCCAGCAGGGAGCGGCAGTAGTCTAGGCGTGAGATGACGAGAGCCTGGGCCAGAACCTGCGTGGCTTTCTGGGTCAGGAGGGGACGTATCCTCCTGATGTTGTAAAGAGTGTATCTGCAGCAGCGGGTTGTAGCAGCGATGTTTGCAGTGAAGGACAGGTTGTTATCTAGGGTCACACCCAGATTCCTTGCAGTCTGAGTCGGGCAAACAACAGAGGGGCCGATGTTGATTGTTAGGTCAAGAGTGGGACAATCTTTTCCCGGAAGGAAAAGCAGTTCAGCCTTGTCAAGGTTGAGCTTGAAAAATGTCATGAAAATAAAACTTTATTGAGACTCTTCAACAGTTGAAGAAGAAGATACACTTTATTAATCCCTTACAGGGAAATGTCTTTCCCCACTCTTTTGTGTTTACACACATTACACACACAGGGGAGGATATACATGCACAAACGCAGAGGATATACATGCAAACACACAACCACATGCAGATAGGAGAGGTGGCAGAGCAGAGAGGCTGCCAGGTACCCGGTTCCAAGAGAGCAGTTTCGAGGTTAGGTGCCTTGCTCAAGGGCACCTCGGCAGTGGCCTTGGAGGTGAACTGGCACCTCTCCAGCTACCAGCTCACTCCGATCGGGACGTGAACCGGCGACCCTTCGGTTCCAAGACCAAGTCCCTACAGACTGAGCCACTGCCGCCCAGACTGAACCAGCTTGATATAACTTTATTGAAATGATGTGTTTGGGGTGGAGCTATGGTGTGATGAAATCCACCATAGCTCCATGAAGACATCTCTGGAGTCATACTAGAGTGATAATAATGTCAAATGGTGTATGACTTTGGCTAACTCCAATAATTACATGCAAATGTTTTCCTGTAGCCCATATAACATCAAAATGAATTATTTAATATGTGATGTTAGAAAAACACTTTATGGTCATTTTCTATTTTGTCACCTTCGTGGCAAAAGAAAGGATCAACACTTTAATACTGTTCTATATGGTTACACAGCACAGGAAATACAAATGTAAAGCCAAATAGAAAATAAAACACATGAAATAAATTCATATCTATAACCAACTAATTGTCATGAATAAATACCCATGAATCAAAGGTCACTCTAAATGCTGCAGCAGGCTGTGAAGAACAGATGACGGAGCACACAAAGGGAGCTCCAGCCGACAGGAGAAAGTGAATTTCTTAAAGAACGTCTAACTTTAACACTGATCTCGTCAACCTCCTCTAACATGGCAGGTCAACCAGGTTATGGGATTGGACACATTAGGGATTAAGGATTAAACAGTGGATTATAAAGCCCCCCCTGTTCCAGGATTTGCTATGTGACAGTTTCATACATGGAGATGCGACTGGTCAGAATGTTTAAGAGGGAAGGGGATTTCTTCGTGAGCCCTAAGCCGGTCCGGCGGTGGGCTGGCAGGTTTTAACAACGGGGCTTAGTCCTGCTGGAGAGATAAATGACGTGAATGATGATCAGGTTGTCAGACTTTGTCAGTAAGTAAAGCTGCCACTTGCCCTTGCTTCCTTCCTGCTTTTTTGACATAATAGTTTTTTATATTTGCTTCACTGTTCCGTGGGTGCTTGATGCTGTCCAGGGTTTTGAGGAGGTTTTGGGGGGCTATGTTCATGAAGGTTTCTTTTAACATTTAGGTATCATTTTGCAAGACACTAAGCGAGTGATTTCCAACAGTTTGAAATCCTTCAATGGAAACTAAAAGGGTTTTTGTAGATGTTTTAGGGAACTTCAGGAAACGTTAAGAATGGTCTTAGGGTTTAACTGTAATCCACGTAGGTCCACAGACTTCTTTGAGGGCATTCCACCTTCCTAGCAGAAGGGTCCCATGAATCCTAAAGAAACTCTAAAACTCAATGATGTGACCATCAGAGTTTGAAGGATCTAGGACCTACAGGGGTCCTGGTAATTGTTGCAGTAATGATGACTGTCTTTAGTTCTCCAGGGACCGGTCATTTCTCTAAAGTATTTTGGCCTTGCAATTATTGAAAGGGATCCAGGAGTTCCTGGTTTCCCAGCAAAGGACACGTCACACTCTCTGGGTGTCCTTGGAAAGGGTTCAAGAGAATCCAGTAGACCTCAAGGGTGGTTGAGGGGAAAATCGGGGTCTTTTACAGGATTCACTGTAATTGTATTCACTATGGCCTGCCTATCAAGCCTGTGCAGCCTGACATGTCTGTCTGAAGGTCTTTGTAATCACTGGGATGTTTGCAGGAACAGTTTTATAGGTGAGAGTTAGGGAGTTCTTCATCAGACATTCTCAGCCTTGCCAATAAAAACCCCACATTATCAACAATGAAATACCACTCGCTCTAACAGCCAAATGGGTGTAATCACATATATTGTCAACCAGAGTTGGGTGTAACGCGTTACTGTAATAATATTACTTTTGTCGGTAACGGAGTAGTGTAACGCGTTACTTTTATAATTCAGTAATCACACTACAGTTACTAACATTGCCCCCACACGCGTTACTTCGTTACTTTTATAAAATCAGTCTTAATCACACTGACAGACAAGAGGGGTTTCCGCCGCAGGTTTATATGTACGTAATCTGCGCGACTTGCGCGCCCACATCTCCACGTGCAGTGCTGCATAAACATGGCAGAGTCAGCGATAACTTTCGAGGGGTGGAGGTATGCCCATTATTTTGAGTTCGTCCGAAGAATAGACAGGAATGTGACGGTGAGGTGCAAACTGTGTCCAGGCCAGAAGCTGTTATCCACTGCTGCAAACACCACGTCAAACCTCAACAAACACCTGCAAAGAACACATGCTAAGGTGAAGCTAATAGCTAAGGACCCCCGAACCCAGAATGAGGATGTTGTGAGTGCGCCGCCGCCGACTCCGAAGCAGCACAAATTAGAATTTGGAGGACCGGTAACCAAAGCAGAGATGGACAGACTTGTAGCATCCTTCATAGTAGAGGTAATGTTGCCCATTTGCACAGTGGAATCACCATCGCATCGTTCAGAGATATACTGCGCAAAATACAGATATCAGGAGACAGAGGACAGCCATAGTCAGAGCTATCTGGATCAGTCTTATGCGACAATGGAAACTGAACTAAAGAGAACATTTGAAACTTTAGCAGTCTGCATGATCTGCCTGTAGGGAGGGGCGGGCCGGCCCTGCGAGTAAAGTAACGAGTTACTTTATGTAGAGAGTAACGAAGTAGTGTAATATATTACTTTTTTTTAAAAGTAATATGTAATATATTACTTTTTTTTAGTAACGACCCCATCTCTGTTGTCAACATATCATCTCACATACAAAACCAGAAATGAAATGCTTGAATGTAAATAAAAAAAGAAGATGCCACTATCGCCTGAGTCTCGGCTGCTGGCCAAGTCAAAGCCTGCGGGTATGTCAGGATGTCACTAAGTCAGGGCAAGCATGGAATGAAGAGAAAATTAGGAATGAGGGGAGAGGGAGGGATAAAGGGATGGATGAGGAGAAGTGGGTGCAGCTGGTGCCCTTTGTCTCTCCAGTACTTGGTCCTCGGAGCTTCAGATCCTCTGGGGGGGCAGAGAAAGCCCCAGTAATGACATGCTAATGTAACTGTCAGGAAAGAAAAGTAAAAGATCGGAAATTGTGCCAATTCTCTGCCATAAATGGGCAACATTGCAAAAAGGAGGGGGAATACTCCCCAATCTTTTATATGAAAAGTGATAAAAGCCTTGATAAATCCCAATAAAAAGGGATTTGGATGAGGCAAGTAGATAAAAGCGAAATGGGGGAGTAGGGATGCAGGAGGGGGAGGACGGATAAAGGTGTAATTTTGGTTGGAGAGAGTCGAAGCAAACAATGCCTGCTGGGAAATCTGCATGTGGAGTCGGATGGTTTCTGGCTTTGCATCCCAGTTTGAAAACAACCTGTTTGTAACCCCTGTATAGTAAACCAAAATGAGTGGCAAACCCCTTCATCACTGAAGTTAACTTACACGTCTGAAAGTGCAGCGGACAATAGTTTCAGCCCAGACCGAAGATTTCACTCTAATTCTCTAAAGAATATTTGTTCTTCAAATAATACTTGAAGATGCTACAAGTGGTCTTTTAACCTTAGCTTTTGATCACCATAAGATTTCTGAGACATGAGTTTATTGTCTAGAAATCAAACTTTCCCTTGAAACACTCTGACCGGACTGAGTTCATCAGAAGTTTCATTCCCAGCCGTGCAGTCACAACATGTCGATGTGTCCTTGAGCAAGATACTGAACCCTGAGTTGCTTATGATGGCCAACGGTGTGTGTGTGTGTGTGTGTGAGTGTGTGTGTGTGTGTGAGTGAGTGTGTGAAAGATGACTCATAAATGTAAAGCACTTTGAAGAGTCATAAAGAATACTATTTCTATACAAACTGTATAGGTGTATCTAATATCCAATAAGGAGTGGTTATACTTTACATTGTAAAAAAAGACATCTGCACATAGGGATTGGAAACTGCGATATAATGAATGCTCCAAACAAAGCTGCTTCCTAAAGCAAAACAACAGCAACATACATACCTTACACATTCACAATGCAGCTCATTTCTTTTGAATCATTAGGGTGTGTTTGAGAAAATGTGAAATAACATTAGCATATGACATGTTTCCAAACAAAGATACTGCTTCTACATGTATCTGCTCTTAGTTGTTCATAACGTATCTCTTTTTAGACTTGACAATGCAGCAGGAAACAAATCCACTCCATAAAAACGCCCATCTTTTCTGATCTTTAAAGATTTTGTTTAATTAAAAGATTTTAGAATTTCCTCAGATAGTTGCTGCCTCGTTCTCCTCTGCTGCTTTTACTTTGGAATAACATTTGAAGAGTGTATAGACATGTATTTGTCATGTCTTGATAAAATTGAAATTCGCAGGAGGACCTAAAGAAGCAAAGATATTATAAATCGCAGGAAACAGAAAAACATATTTATTAAATATAACAATTCTACAAAAAATACCTAAAGGACTTTGATTGACCATTCATATTATTATAACTGTTATATTGTTATATATGTTACAATTGTAAAATGTTTTCACCTATAAATATATGTAATGTGAGAGATGCAAAATATCCTTGCAGGTTACATGGCATTATTTATATTTTAGCATGAAAATGCAAAAGTGTGTGTGTGTGTGTGTGTGTGTGTGTGTGTGTGTGTGTGTGTGTGTGTGTGTGTGTGTGTGTTGTGTGTGTGTGTGTGTGTGTGTGTGTGTGTGTGTGTGTGTGTGTGTGTGTGTGTGTGTGTGTGTGTGTGTGTGTGTGTGTGTGTGTGTGTGTGTGTGTGTGTGTGTGTGTGTGTGTGTGTGTGTGTGTGTGTGTGTGTGTGTGTGTGTGTGTGTGTGTGTGTGTGTGTGTGTGTGTGTGTGTGTGTGTGTGTGTGTGTGTGTGTGATGTCTCAGTTCTCATGCAGCCAACTCCCCTCCTCCCCATGCCCATGAGGAAGAGGTGAAGCAGGACCCTCCTCTTCCACCTGGATGCACCACAGAACACACCAGGACCCTCCTCAATCCGGACCCTTTGGAACCATGCTCACACACATGCACATCCTGGTTTCCCCATCACACAGACACACACACACACTGAGGCGCTGGCAGAGAGCAGTGCAGGCCTTGGCACAGTTCACCTTAATATGAGGCAGATTTGAGCCCCCTGCCACTGCCGGGGGGCCGATTGAGAGGCAGACAGAGAGAGGGAGAGACTTTAGAGCAGGGTGGATTGTTGGCATATGCTGTGTGTGTCTGTGTTTCTGTGAAACCTTGGCTGGCCGACCACGAGCACTTAGGGCCTCCCTGAAGAGATGCTGAACAGAGAAAAAAGAGGAATGGAAAAAAACCGAACCACAATGGGGTTTTGCCCTTTGTGTGGACAATTCATTAAAACCCATTTATTCCCTCCTTTAATTCATTCTGTTTCTCTGTCTCTGTTCTGTTTAACAAACGCTTGTCAAAGCTGGCCACAGAGAGAGGGGCTGAGGCCAAACTGGAGCCGTCCCATCCAGACCACCACCAGCCTTCAGAGGGCTGCGGGGGGCTCTGTAGACCCTCTGCAGCACACTGACGCTGGCTCCAGATAAACATCCATTCACACAGTAATCATTCTTCATAAGATAAATGAACACGAGTCATCATAATATTATTATTACAGCTAGTAAAATAGGAAAGGGTTTACGTTAAGCATGATCATTTTATTAAGGTAGGTCTTCTGAAACAAGCAAATATTAATGTCTTTACAGAAATAATTCACATCTGGGGACGTTGGGGAGGATAGTTGTCCATCGGTTAAAATAACCCAACATTGAGTTTTGTGGATGGACTGCCTTCATTGCCAAAGGTTTGGAATGTAACTCCTTTGACCATTGAAAGCACTACATGTCAGCATTTACACATCAACACACACATGAATACACTGAGGGGATCAGCCATTAGCTAACCATGCACTGGATCCATCATTTGATCACATGGATCACTGTTGGAGCCACGAACAGCGTCTAATCTAACATTGACTTAATTATGTTCCATATGGAATTTTGTGAATGAACAACGTCAACCTCCACCTGTGGGGGGTGAGGCTTTAAAATGGACCAAGACATTATTAGACACATTATTTGATGCATTTTTCTACAATAGATGACATTATTAGGCCCTTTGTTTTAAAGTGGACCTATCATGCTATATTTAAATGATATATTGTAGGGCCATACCTATATAAGGTATATTTATACGTTTCTGTTTTCAAAATACCAAACAGATCATGCATTTTAGCCATGCCTCATTTCGCTCTATGTGCTGTTTGCTGTCTACGGGGCTGATTCTGCTGACCACGCCCCCCTGCAGGAGAGGGGAGACGTGCTCTGATCAGCTGCTGGGCTGTCAGAAGAGGGGGAGAAAAAGAGATCTCCGTCCTCCGTGTTTTATTATATAGAGTCGTTATTCATTTGTTTTAAAGCTCAATAAATAACAAAGAAGACCTTTGACCGGCACTTTTCTAATTTTGTCCGGAAGATTTCAACTTTAACGGACATCTTGACCGGCGAAAGAAACTGAAACTGAAACTCTGCCGCACGGTCCCCTCGTTCCTTGGAAGAGGCGGAGAGGTGGGTGTTTGTCATCTGCTGGTGGACTAACTGGAGAGAATTACAGTGCTTGCCTCGACGGGGAGGGATTGCATTGAATTAAAGCAGCGGGAGCAAACGCTTGCCTCGGGGAGGGAGAAAAAAGCCACAGCGGAGAATAAACAGAAGGGTAACCATGGTAACTATGGGCGGGAAGTCTTCTTCGCTGCTTTTGTGGCAGACTACAGCGCCACTTACAGGCCTGGCATATGTACTACAGCATCGCCAGCGCTTTCGAGCGGCAATGGCCGGCCGTGGCCCAACCCCACATTCCCCTGATAGGTGGAGAGTTGGCCCAAGTTTAGCTCCACTTTCCTGACGTCAGGGCAGTGTTCAAATCTGGATCAGTTTTTATCAGATCCGTTGCAGCCCCTTTTTTAGAGATTTGGGTATGGAGGAAAATAGAGAGGGTTTTGTTTTCTGACACTTGGTGAGTTCCCTGGAACACCGGGGACACATATTCATGTATAAAAGACGTACAAAAGTGCATTTTGCATGATAGGTCCCCTTTAAGTATTATTTTTCGTCACCTATTTTAGCGACTTCATCATCGTTCAGAAATCTTATGTACTGACCTTACAGAAACAAGTGTTCCCTGTTTCATCTGCAGCTCCGGAGAGGGCGGCAGGATGAAGGCCTTCTCCTCTTCTTCCTCCTCTCCAGGTCTCTTCTCTGTGGACAAGACAGTGAGAAAGGCTTCAAGGTGGACCAAACACACACACACACACACACACACACACACACACTACATTTTGAATAATTCTTTTCTGAAATGCTGTGATGTGTCATACCCTACCTGTGTGTGTGTGTGTGTGTGTGTGTGTGTGTGTGTGTGTGTGTGTGTGTGTGTGTGTGTGTGTGTGTGTGTGTGTGTGTGTGTGTGTGTGTGTGTGTGTGGTGTGTGTGTGTGTGTGTGTGTGTGTGTGTGTGTGTGTGTGTGTGTGTGTGTAATATATAATAACATATGATTTCATTACAACTCCATTTCCGCGTCTCTCTGCAAATCATCAGGCATTGTATAGACATTGATATCAACAAAGGGTAATCACGTTTTGAAAAGTGAAATATTACCACTTATTAAACAGTAATCTCATCAAGTGGCGATGTGTCAGAGATTACAAAGAAGAATGTAGGGTCTCCGATGACTGTAATTAAGGTCGACCCATCCACTTACAAACAAAGGCTTTAAACCCATTATTATGTGGAGAATTAGAGGGAACTCTCTTTTCAGAAATGACTTGTGAATTGAAGTATGATTACCCTTTTTTCCTCTTCAATTTGGTCTTTTTAAATCACAGCAGAGAGCTAATCTTTGCGAAGCCACAGACAGACAGAATCGCAATGGTGCCCTGAAGAAATGTTTGGAATAAAATAACAAGGCAGCAGCATTGTGAGGAGTGTGTGTGTGTGTGTGTGTGTGTGTGTGTGTGTGTGTGTTTTCATGTGTGTGACGGGAACCAAAAAAAAAAGAGTTTTCTTTTCTTTGCAACACCAAAATGAAGCGTGGAATCTGATGGAGTTTCTTTAATCACAAAGGGAAGGATTTGGCGTCTGCTTCCTTCTGCTAATTTATTCATTCAAAAGTCTTAATATCCGTGCAGTGGGTGAAGGATCACACAACACACGCTAAGCATTTTCCCTGCCACTCAAGATTTCTTTTCCTTTTTTGGCTTTATTAAAAAAGGTTAGAGATTAGATTTATTTTTCTTTATTTCTCATGAAAGCTTTGGAAATGTCAATTTTCTATTAGCAGGACGGTCAAAATGCAGAAAAAAGACTGAGCTTAATGAGTTCAGTGAGGCAGTGTGTGTGTGTGTGTGTGTGTGTGTGTGTGTGTGTGTGTGTGTGTGTGTGTGTGTGTGTGTGTGTGTGTGTGTGTGTGTGTGTGTGTGTGTGTGTGTGTGTGTGTGTGTGTGTGTGTGTGTGTGTGTGTGTGTGTGTGTGTGTGTGTGTGTGTGTGTGTGTTCATAGACAGCTTGCTGACGATACTGTTACCAGTTCAAACACTTCAAATGACAACACACTTGGCTACTCCTTCTATTCTCTAAGATAGAGTCAAAATGTCATTATGCACTTCATGCATACTTAACAAATGCTACTGCCATTTCAAATGTTTAAGCAAGAAATGAAATAATTTTTTCATATGTTGTATTAATAATTTTCAGAGAAACTCCAGTTCCTTCTTACACAAGCTACACCTGGTGTTTCTGAACTAAATGGTTTCATGTTATTTGTGGCCCGCAGATAGTTTGTGTCTGCTGGTCTTCGCTGATAAACTTTACATCAGTAACACCAAGTTTGATTAGTCCCTCATGTGTTCTTGGAGTTAAAGGGAACAGTACGTTTTATCAATCAATCTTTTTTACCACATGAAACCATACAAGGAACCACTCCAGTGAAATGTGACATCAAGCTGTTACATTAGTATACAACTAAAATTGAATGGCTCTGTCCGGTTTTCCAAGATTCGGTCCAGTTTGATGAAACAAGAACATCATGTTTTACTGACACATTGGAAAACTGATGAGCCTGTGATCTAACAGGAAGTCTGGCAGAGAAGAATCGTCCAAGAGACAAAGGTAAAGATGGTCCTGCGTGTCCATGTCTTGCTGTGGAAACCTTTTCCTCAGTCTCAGTCTCTACTGTGATGTTTACATTTTTAAACCTCAAGCTCAGAATAGTTGAGAGAAAGGCCACAATGTGATGAGACACACACACACACACACACACGCAAACAAACACACACACAGTACTACCATCACCCAGCAGTGAGAGAATGATTCATTCCAGTGAGCTTTTATCTGACCTGAGCCAAGTGTTCTACACGCTGCGGTCAGGCTGCCGGCCACTTTCTCACTTTGAGATTCCAGTGTGTGTGTGTGTGTGTGTGTGTGTGTGTGTGTGTGTGTGTGTGTGTGTGTGTGTGTGTGTGTGTGTGTGTGTGTGTGTGTGTGTGTGTGTGTGTGTGTGTGTGTGTGTGTGTGTGTGTGTGTGTGTGTGTGTGTGTGTGTGTGTGTGTGTGTGTGTGTGTGTGTGTGTGTGTGTGTGTGTGTGTGTGTGTGTGTGTGTGTGTGTGCCCTCCGCCCTCCGCCTTGTTCACCGGCCCTCCTTACAACCTGTCTCAGAGATAAGGGCCATGCTTTTTCATTTCAGTAAACTCTCCCTCTCTGTTCTTGCACTGGGGGGGGGGGGGTAGGGGGCAAGGCTTTCCACTTCATCCTGTCAATACGATGGATAAGGAGTCCAACTGAAAGTTCATTAATTCCTTGGTAACCTATGCCTGGGACAGGCTTATGCCCCCCCTCCTCTCTTGATGTTGGGTTCCCAGGGTGAGCAGCACACTTTCTTCTCTCTCTGTCTGATCCGTGGAGCATTATTTCAGGTATTTCAGATCGGAGTTGCACTTGCATCAGCTGAGTAGCATTAGGATTTTTATTCATGCCCTACCTTCAATGGCTTATTTATCAACTGTTTGGCTATCAGCTGACTAGAATCGTGCCATATTCATAACCTAGCATAATTACTTGTATAATGTGTAAGCTTTGTGGGAGTGTAGAACTTTGACCTCAGGGGTCATGTTTAAAGAGCCAATTCAAAAGCCTGACATATGTTGTCTGGCCTTCCTGATCAGGGGAAAACAATAACAAAATATGCTGGTCTGTGCCCAAGAACACCCCCACAGCACCCCCATCAGAAACAACACAGGTCTGTGATTTGTGAGATAAGACCCCCACACCTCCCACCTCTTGTGTGAAAGCAGGTGGCTCACACTCTGCTGCAAGGAAAAAATGTAAGGTAGGAAGAAAATAATAATGAATGACATTATTAGAGCGGTTTACATCATATTACACATGTAACAGGTAATAATGTACTACCCACAGGAGGAAGTTAGGGCGAAGTGTCTTGCCCAAGGACACAACGGCCTGACACAGCGGCCTGACACAACGGCCTGACACAGTGGCGGCTGAGGCGGGTTTCAACTGTTCCCCAGCGCCCCCTGATCTGAGGCTGAACGCTCAGCCCACTGAGCCATAGCCGCAGGAGTCATGGCTCCGTTTTGAGTAAACATCCATGTTTTGGTGGATTTTTAATATTGGCATAATCAACGTGTTCTGGAGGGGCTCCAGCACCACAATATTTCTAACCCAATCTCGGATTTCAAACACAAAAAAAACATAGAACATTTAATGCAAGGGCAAAATGATAACCCACCTAAGGCAGACCTATAGACATATAATATATGCCTGCAAATAGTATAATAGGAGACCTTTAAGTAACATGAACCTTTGTTCTCTCTTCCAATAGGCCCAAAGCTGATGCTGGTGGGAGTAATGCTGACAATATTCTCCTTGTATTGTTGCAGATGTGTAGATATGCAGTTGTTGATGATTCAGCACAACTTCTACATGTTATTTCATGGACCCCTACCAGGGTGCCATGGACCCCTGCAGGCCTTTTGCCAATCAATCGACTAGAGATATTTTTTTTTATACTTTATATCAAAACATAATATAATATTATAGACAAAGCCACCCAGCAGTATAGGAATTTAATAAAATAAGCTCAACATTAACGTTATTAACCAATGAATTAATGAATCATTATAAATACATATTATTCCAAAAGAATGTAAGTGTTTACAGTTGGTGCCTTTAATTTTAACTACTAAGAATAGTGTAAAAACATAACACAAAATACATAATAGCAACTTCACACCAGCTTCCACTCAGAGGGGGGGTGGAGACCTGTCTATAAAGATGATCATAAAGCCCTGTAATGCTGATGAAGAGAACATAGCATCACCTCCTAAAGCATGAGCTCTATATCACTGCTGCCCAAACTGTAAAGCAGCCTGATGACAGGCTCTGTCTGTGTGTGGCTGAAAGCTTAATAACGCGGTTCATAATGAACTGCAATAACACTGTACAACAAATCACCTCTGGCTGGCAGAGAACTCTTTGCTCCATCGTTTTTCTCTTTTCTCTTCACTGTACATTTTACATTTATATATTCAGTCTAATATTTCATCTGTCACATACTTATGTATATATAATACCTTACTTATATCTTGTTATTGTTAATTTGTGTATATTTTCTACTTTATTGTTTATTTCTTGTCTTTTAATTTGTGTTGTACAATGCCATGTCTTTTTGCAACACAACACTTTCCCAAATTGGGATCAATACATTTCTATCTTATCTTAATGAGTGAACTTTACTGTGGTCTCTGTCTCTAAAGTGAAAAACAGCCTTATGTTTTGATGCTGTTTATTGAATAACATATTGCCACAGATTTCATGTACAGAATATAAGTGAAAATCATTAACTGGAGGCGTGTCTCTGTCGTGTCTTACAAACAACACTCTGCGTGTCTTTAAAATGCTTCAGCATGATACAACATAAGCCTATAATAATCAGTAAATGTAGCTCTGTGTGAGAACCACACTCAACATAAATGATGTGCTGATGATTTCAGGCTTCAGCTTTACATGGTTTAAGTTCAGCATTTCAATTGTTTTTTAAGTTTTTATGGTTACTATGATTATGGATGCTTGGTTGGGGGGGGGGAGATTTAGGATGCATATGTAAGTCATGTGTGTGATGTCACAAAGTTACATTACTTCCATAGCTTGACAAACGTTCTTATATAAATGATTTTTCTCTAACCTTTG